TATAACACTGAAAGGGAACCCTATTATATTTCCATGCTTTTCATTTAATATCAAAAACATACAGAAGTTTGTTTTTTTTTTTAGAGACAGAATCTTACTTTGTTACCCTCAGTAGAGTGCTGTGGCATCACAGCTCACAGCAACCTCAAGCTCTTGGTCTTAGGCAATTCTCTTGCTTCAGCCTCCTGAGTAGCTGGAACTACAGGTGCCTGCCACAATGCCTGGCTACTTTTTTTTTAGCGACAGAGTCTCACTTTGTCACCCTCAGTAGAGTGCTGTGGCATCACAGCTCACAGCAACCTCCAGCTCTTGGGCTTAGGTAATTCTCTTCCCTCAGCCTCCAGAGGAGCTGGGACTCCAGGTGTCCACCACAACACCCAGTTATTTTCTTTGTTGCAGTTTGGCCGGTACCGGGTTTGAACCCACCCCCCTTGGTTTATGTGGCCGGCGCCCTGCTCACTGAGCCACAGGCACCGCCAGGCTGCAAGCATTTTCAACAGAGGGAGGTACTTAATGAAGTATTCACTAAGACAATGGAGACAAATAATGACTGTTGTTGGGTGTTAGAGTCTCTGCCTTCACTATCTTGTTTAATTTCCCAAACAATTATTTCTATGTAAGTATTTTCAACCCATTTTACAGTTAGGCCAGCTGAGTTACGGAAAGGTTAACTCACTTGCCCAAGGACATACAACTAGTAAACTTCAGAACAAATGAGGATTGAAAGGCTCCCATGACTTCTCACACCTCCGCCTTCCAGCCAGCACCTCTTACTGCAACCTCAGGCCTCCAAAGGCGCCCACTGTATTCCTATAGCAGTCCTGAAAGCCGCCACTGTGTTCCTATAGCTGCTTGCTTGGATCTTTCTGGTGAATTTCCCCACATCCTGATTTTATTTATTTTTTTTCTTTTCAGCTAACTTTCCCCTGTTAATCCCTCTTTCAGTGTAACCTTGTTAGCTTTGAGGACACACCCCCTGGCCAGGCCTGGACTTACAGGGCCGCCTCTGCCCACCCCTTTCCTCTGCTTCAGTTTAAAGTCACCAGATGCCTCTGGTTCTCTCCCTTTGCTTTTAGCCCTCACAGGGGCAGGAGGGACCGAGACTGGGCCCAGAACTCACTGTCCTAGGGTGACAGTGGAGGGGCTTTGGGGAGCAGTGACTCCCCTCCATCCCCTTCTCACAGACACTGCGGCTACAACGAAAACCAACGGGCAAGATGAAGACGTGCTGGTAAGACCGTGGCACTGGAAATAGTTGTGGGGAGCCTGGGCTGGGGCCACAGAACCAGGAGTCTGTGTTTTTGGTGGGATGAGAGGGAGCAAGGGTGCAAGGTAAGAGACAGAACAAGAAAATTAGGACTTTGATAAAAATTAAGGTGTAACATTGAATAATTAATTAGGACAATAAAATAATACCAAAACCTTCTAAATGTTGATAAAAATAACAGTTTTGGCCAAATTAGGGACAGAGGTAAAGACGGATGGGAGAGCAAGACAAGAGTAAGCATGAGAGACAGAAAAAAGAAACAGCCAACCTCAGAGAGAGGCAGAAAGTCAAAGAAGAAAGAGAAGACAAGGAAATGGATACAGAAATGGTGACTTAGGTAGATACTGGAGAAAGTGAGATCAATAAATTCACAAGGACAGTGAGAGCTGGAATTATAGGAACTTATTACATCTCAGTAAAGCTTCAAAGTCCAAATTAAGAAAATAAACTATATTGGGATTTGATCACCTATATTAATTTGGTCCGTATTTCAGGTTTGAAAATATGGAGGTAGTCCCCATCTGGAGGGACTCCTTTTTGAGTCATTTTTCTTCTTTCCTCTTCAGGAAAATTCCAGTTTTCTTCTTTGTGTGCAGTTTCGTGGGACCCTGGGCATCTGCAACTGTCAAGCGGCGCCCAAGTAAGGGTTAGAGTTTCTAGATTTTGCATCCGCAATCCTTCACACCCTCAGTCTCCTCATGCCTGTGTTGGGCCATGGGGATACTCTAGTGCCTAGTTTTTGTGGTCAGCAAGTCTTGGCAGTATTTCCAGTCGGCAGAAAGTCCAGTCTGTGTATTCTAGTGCCTACTGAGAGCCTGCTTTCAGACAGTGATTGGTAAATGTTGGGTGGACGTATGAAAGGATGAATTAGCAGACAGACGGATGGGTGGAGCTCAGTAATCTGGGGTCAGGGAGGTAGGAGGTCAGACAATTAGGTTTTTGAACTCATCCTTGAAAAAGTGCTACACACCTCATTGCTGAGGTAACCAGATGGCCAAGGGGAGTACTTTGAAGGTGACTGTCTAAGGAGTATGTTTACACTCATATAAATGTGTACATACATGTTTGATGTACCATGATCGCTAGGCCAAAGCTTTGTAACTGGTTAATACTTTTTCCGAAATGTAGGAAGATTTTGTTGGTAGATAAATCTTAACAAAGCACTGATGTTGGATATTTACGAGAAACATGATGTGGGGGTAAAAAAATTCTTCCTCCTTACAACTCCCCACTTGTATAAAGAGCACCCAATTTCAACCTAAAATTCTCATCAAATTGAAGGTTTAAACCTTCTCATGAAGATTTACTTTCTTCTTCCTGTTACTCTTCCCAATTCTAGCCTTCTAGCAATCATCCAGTCAGAGCCTTTATTTGATCTCTTAGAATGAGTATGAAATCATATGCATCCCTCTATATTTCATTTAGGATTATTGAATCCCAAGACTTCCCCCATTCCTCTCCTCTGTTTGACAAAGATTCCTAAGAACTCCACTCTGCAGAAGCCCCATTGAGCTGGCTTAAGGCTAGCCCTGGATTCTCACTGGAATTCTAAAATTTGTGGTGTTTACAGAATATTTTTTAGCCCAAACCAGAAGCTTTCAAAACAGGTTTCTGACTCTGAAATTCTGGACATTATGCATCTTTGGTTTCAAGAACAAATTCCTAACCCCCCCAGAAGAAATTTCTACAAGCACAAATTATTAAAGGAACTTTACACTTTGTACTATGTATCCCTTCCAGGATGAGTTAAAGGTGAAAGAATTATAGAGTTAAAGCCATATACACAATAAACAAGCTGGTATCACACTGTATTTTAAATAGTCGCTCAGTTACTATCATCAGTACATCCTGCTCTTTTTCAGGATTCCCTGTCAATTCAAATTCTAATGGTGGAAATGAACTCTGTCCAAAGATCAGAATTGGCCAAGATGACTTACCAGGCAAGTAGTATTGTATTACAGTGAAATCCAAGCTTTCTGTAAACCTGATATATTCTTTCATTTGGGAAAGTTTTGGAAAGGAATAAAACCAATCTCATTTTGTGTCCCCGTTTTCTAGGGTTTGACCTGATTTCTCAGTTCCAGGTAGAGAAAGAGGCCTCTAGAAGAGCTATCCAGAGGGTGGTGGGGTCCACTGGACTGCAGGTGGCTTACAAGCTGGGAAATAATGTAGACTTTAGGATTCCAACCAGGTAATGTATCAAAAACATTTCATTGAATTGCCTGCTTCAAATGCATTTTAAAAATGGATAGGGATCTAATATTAGAGATTTTTCTAATATTCATTGCTTTTTTGGATCATAATTTTATTCAAAGCTGAAGGAATGTATTTACCTATCTATCTTCAGGGCCTGAATACTGGTCTTCCTGTACTTTACTTTCCATTCCAGGAAAAAATCATCACTGAGACTATTATACATTGACTCAAGACATGTTCTTATTACTTTAATTTCTGTTTTTCTGTAATTTGTCTGGTTTTGACTAAAAGGACCCTCTGTGAAAAGTGCCAGAGGTTAAACATAAATTTAACTAGAAGCCACAGTGTGGACAGACGACTCACAATGGCGCTGTTCAAGCATCGTGGTGCTGAAATAGAACCACATGTCCCCCTGTTGCCTCTTGGCAGGCCCTACACCAAAGCAAAACTAAAGTGATCATAACAGAAACAGCAGTCATGATAATAACCAAATAAATCCCCTACATCACTGATGTCCTTCTCTGGAACTTAGCCTTTTATTCTGTAAATTATTTATAATTGAGATACTTTAGTGTATGTGTGTTAAGTCATTGTCTTATGAAAGAACTTCAGGTGTACAGTTTTGATATCACCCAAATACCTTGTTCGTGATTATTATAATTATTACATGTTTTAGCATGCCGCAAAAAATAGAAATGACATCTCTTTAGTAGATGAACAAGAAAATTAGGACTTTGATAAAAATTAAGGTGTAATAGTGAATAATTAATTGGGACAATAAAATAATATCAAACCCTCTAAATATTGATAAAAATAACAGTTTTGGTCAAATTAGAAGAAACTGATATAATGTGGTGGCAGATTTCTGACAGAAATTTATTTTGAACATACAATACATTATTTTATATTTTATAATACAATAATAGTGCATGCATAAGATCTTTTTATAAATTTACTAATTATCATTAATCTCATCCTTAGCACAACCCTATGATACAAGAGCATTATTATTTTTTATTATTTTTTTTAATTTTTTATTATTTATTTATATTTTATTATTTTTTTTGAGACAGAGCCTCAAGCTGTCCCCCTGAGTAGAATGCCGTGGCATCACGGCTCACAGCAACCTCCAACTCCTGGGCTCAAGTGAGTCTCCAGCCTTCACCTCCCAAGTAGCTGGGACTACAGGCGCCTGCCATAATGCCTGGCTACTTTTTGGTTGCAGCCGTCATTGTTGTTTGGTGGGCCTGGGCTGGATTCGAACCCGCCACCTTAGTGTATGTGGCTGGCGCCTTAGCCACTTGAGCCACAGGTGCCGAGCCAATACAAGAGCATTATTATCTTTATTTTATGGGGAAGGAAACCAAGCCCTAAAACTTTAATTTATTTGTGTAGGTGTTACATCTCACTCCTATTATCGCTTGTCAGGGCCCAGGTCTTGGGCTCTGCTTAACTAGGTTCTGGACGCGGACCTCCAAGCTACCTTGCTCGGGAATGATTTCACTTAGGTGCCTGAGGGCTATCTACTTTAGGGAGAGAGAGAAAGAGAGAGAGAGAGAGAGAGAGAGAAAGATTCTTAGAGAGAGTAAAGCAGTCTTAGAATAGATAGATCTTAGTCTTTAGCAGGGCTTGGTAATCTTTAGCAGAGAGATGCCATGCTGGCATTCTATAGGCAGGAAAGGAGACAGAGTCAGAGTAAGCGGGTCTGTGATAGACTGCACATGCTCCTGACTGCCTTCTCCTCCAGCCTAAAATGAGGCTGATCTCGTGCCTTTCAACACCACAGGTGTAGAGACTGCCAATTCACCACTCATCTCGTGAGCTCTCATGCTTGGTAGGAGAGTTAGATTCCTCTCCATGCCCTTTTCACCAAGTGTTCCATTATTGAGCTATACAGAGTTTAGTGAGAGTTTCTTTTTTTTTTTTTTATTGAATGGTAACTATGTACATTAATGCACTTCTGGGGTACAGTGTAGGGTTTTCACATGCAATCTGAAATACTTCCATCAAACTGCTCAACACAGCCTTCATGTCATTTTCTCAGTTATTGCTTTAAAACGTTCACATTCTACTCTTAGAAAGATTCACCTGTACCCCTATAAGGTAAACCTCAGAAGTAATCCCTCCAAACTCCCTCCCTCCACCCATTCCCTCCTCCCTTCTCCCTCCCCCCTCCCCATATTCTTAGGCTATTTGGTTATAGCTTTCATATAAAAGGTATAAATTAGTTTCATAATAGGGGTGTGTACATTGGATACTTTTTCCTCCATTCTTGTGATACTTTGCTCAGAAGAACATTCTCCAGCTCCATCCATGTGAACATGAAGGATGTAAAGTCTCCATCCTTCTTAATGGCTGCATAGTATTCCATGGTATACATATACCACAGTTTGCTTATAACTCTCACTACTCCTAGCCATAGGCTATATGGACTGCTACATGTAGGTTACAAGGTTGGAACATGCTGGGAAGGTTGAAAACCAGATAGCATGGTTTCAAAGGTTGTGTTTCTAACCACACTCCTCCATACTGACCCTGAGCCATTCACACTTAGAAGGATTATTGCCACCTTAACTCCAACACTGAATTTCTATTGGCTTATATTTTCTTTTCATATACAGTTGTAGTCTTAAATTTCTAAAATTTTGTGTTTTGTCTTTAATAAAATAATTGAACATGACACAAGACCCTCAGTGATGACTTGATTTTCTTTTGTATTACTCGAGATTTAAAATCTGAACCACCATTAACTCTGAATTTGGAGGTTGATCAACTCGAGGTCACATAGCCCCCCATCTCCCGATCACCTTCACCGTTATCATTGTTTTTCTCTAAACGCTGAGCTGTCACTACATCATGCACCCAGGCTGTCACCAATGTCTCATATTCATTCTGCCCTTGACTCCCTGACCCCACAAAGACTAAAATTCTTGTTTTACTGATAAGGATTATTAAGAGATGGGGAAAGAAGGAAGAAGGAAGTGGGAGAAGGAAATAGGAGAGAGAAAGAAATAGAGAAGAAAGAGGAGGCTCAAAGGGCTGAGATACAGTTGGAGTCCCAAATAGGCAGTAAAATCTATTCTTGGGCAAGTTACTGAAGCTATCTTTGTTTCAATTCCCTCCGATTAAAGTTAGGGATGATAAGAACTGTGTCATAGGGTTGCTATGTAGACTAAATGTTAAGAACCGGGGTGCTTGAACAGAGCCTGGTACCCACTGGTATTAGGTAAGTGTTTATTATCAGTGGTGGAAAGTACTAGAAGAGGAGAGGGTATTTAGATGAGAGTCTTTTTTCCTCAGTGGGCCCTTTCTTTTCAAGCTGCCCTTCAAACCCTACTCCTTCGAAAGCCAGATGATGAGGAGGGCAGGAATGGTAATTGCTCTCACGCCATGTAGGGAATAGACAATCTTGGGTGAAAAGGATTTTCTGCGCTCAAGAATCTGAGTCCCTGAGACAGTGAAAAGAAATTATTAGCAGGATCTTTGTGGGCAGAAAAGAGGAATATTGTATATGGAACTAATATGGTAGAGTCACAATTTATTATTATTTATCTTTTCAATTTTTTGAAAGCTTATGAGACATGTAATGTTTTGCTGCTTTTTATTCTTTATTTTAGACATCCTAATTTCACATTCTCAACTCCCACTAACAAACACATTTATTTGCCTTAAAAACACAGTCTTTAGCTTTCTTTGGGTTAAGGTCATAAACAATCTTCGAAGGCTCAAAGACTCTTTAATCTTTCATTCCAGCCCTTCCCTTATGGTTCTTCATTTAGGGTGCTCTGTGCAGATTGTAGCATAATGAAATAAATCATTTATAGACCCAGCTTCTTTTAAATTATGCATGCTGTCAAGTTTACTTATCGATGTGTACTAGCATATTTGCAAGAGCAGAATTTCAGGTGTTCAAAAGAAGGCAGTGAGGCTGGCTGTTAGATTTGTGAGGCTTTAAAATGGTCTTAGGTATATACAAATGCATTCATATTTTGTTAATATGAATAATAAAATTTTTTTCCTCTTGCCATATTGATGTACTGTAGTAGCCTAGTTTGAAAGATGAATGATATGATAACCTAGATTCTCTTGGTACACATACCCACATGTATTATCTTTATATATGTGTGGAAAGAGATCACCTTGGTTGCTGATTATTCATTTAGCAATTCCGCCCCCTACCTTTTAGGGGGGAGGTTTGGGTATTACATATACCAAATCAGGAGCAAGTATAGATGTTATGTCCTATCTTACCTTCAGTATAATCTCTTTGTTCATTGAGTAAGAAAAGTTGGATGAAATAAAAATTAGGAGAGATCCCTCAGTTAACCTCATAACCCTGCACATTACTGCAACTTCTAGAATTGAAACAAAATAGATGTTTGTTGGGGTCAGGGAGCTAATTAAATTCCACTGTTTTGCTCACTATATCTATAGAAAGATATGTAGGTAACACAAATAAGTTTTTAAAAAAAAATGTAGAAAAGTGATGCTTGCAGTGGCGTCCACCCTGCAGCCCACAGGCAGCATACGCACAATTTGAGGACTGTTTTGCTTATTGGTGTTGGAAATTGCAAAAATTATGCATCGACCTTTTATTATTATTATCAACTTTTGTTAGTGTTTGTGTACTTAATGTGTGGCCCAAGACAATTCTTCCAATGTGTGTCAGAAAAAAAAAGAGGTCAGACACCCCTTATAGAAGACAAAGTATTAGGATTTATCTACCTTTTACAGAAATCTCACACCTCAACAACTATCTTGGACAATAATAAGAAAATAGATTCTTCAAGCATCTGGTAAAATACAGATCTTTAATAAAAAAGAATAGTCAAAACAATCTATTTATCATTTAAGTGGATACTTGTCCAATTTTTCTACCATTGAGAAAAACTTTGGAAACTTACCTCCCAGATTCAAAGTTATTGAGGTCAAATGAGATGTAAAACTTCCATCATATGTTTCATAGTTATGTAATAGGCAGTGAATTATATTGTCATTAGTGAACCTTAGTGTCTTCTCTACGGATGGATATAAAATTGTCATAATTTTGAAAAATATAAAGTCAAAGACAATATGAAAAACAGACTGAAAAATAGAAAATATGTTAAAAACAAATATCGGGAGTGATGTGGTAGACAGCTCCATTTGGAAAACAGTAAATGTCTCTTGCATACATTTTTTCCCTTTAATTCCTAACTGAACATTTTGAAGGTACATGTTAAAACTTCCTGTACAGTTGACTTACATAAAAGATGTATAGTGAATTGAAAATCCTGCAATAAGAATAATACACATCACCAGTGGATAGAAAAATTCACTCCCTTCCTTTAAATATAAACCAAAGTCATATCAGAAAATTCTGGCTACAAGGAAGACTTGGATGATAAAAGGGTACTTAGATGAAAAGTTTCACATTTTTGTGATCTTTATAAAACTAACAAAGCAATGAAATTTGTTGAGGCAGTTGATCCATTTTATTAAATTTGCAAAATTATTTACAGGAAAAGGAGTTGAAAGTTTATGTTATCATAAGAGATAATATTTTATAGTTAAATTCCAAGTAAAGATAGAAAATCTCAGCAAATAATTAGGGCTACATAGCAAAAGTTTGACATGAAGGAACATTATTTGGGACTATGGGTCTTGGTCTATGACTGTTCTCAGAAATATCAAATTCTATTATTTAGCACAGAAAATTCATTTTGCCTAGCATTTCTTCCTTACTTAGGAATTTTTCTAAGCTTAGAAGGATGAAGGTAGAAGGATAAAACCTTCTTGTCCTTGACAGATGATGTTTACTTTTAACATGCTCTGATCTTTAAAGTTCAGTCTTTAGCGTTCAGAGCTCAGCTTCAACAGAAGAAGATCCAGGAGGCTGGTCTGGCTCCAGCTTACGGTCTTTATATAGACTGGAGATGCCTTAGGGACACAACCTGACTTATGCTGCCACCTAAGCAGTAAAGGAATTAGCAATGATATAGTCTCAGTTGGCAGATTAAGGAACAACTGGGGTAAAGTGGAGAAGTAAGAACAGGTCACCTTTCCCTTGTCCCACATTCAGTGACAAGCTGCTACTTTACCATCATATTCTGAACTCCATAAGAAAACAAACCTCCCCAGCCTGAGCAACATAGTAAAATCCCATCTTTGCAAAAAAATTAAAAATTAGCTTGAAAATAGTGGCACTTGACTGTAGTCCCAGCTACTGGGAAGGCTGAGCCAGGAGATTCTCTTGAGCCAGGAGTTTGAGGTTTCAGTGAACTATGATGATGCCACTGAACTCTGTCCAGGGTGACAGAGTGAGACCTAATCCCCAAATACAAACAAACAAAAAACAAGCACCCTCAGTGTGTAGAAGCTTCTAGAGTCTGTACAGTTACTGATTCTCAAAATGGTAGTTAAGGAGTAGAATTCCCAAGCAATTATGAAAATAACAAATAATCTTAATGTGTTACATGCAAATGAAGAATTAAAAGCTGCTGCTGACTGCTTTAAATAGTTTCATAAACTGGTAGAGCTGATTTGGATTTCTAATGATCTCATCTCCTGCTTGTGGGAGCAATGTTGCCAAGAACTTTGCAAGAATGTGTCTTTTGGCTGAGATTGAATTACTGAACAGTAGCTCTTTGGGAAGCATAAATAGTGATATTGTTGGGATTATCTGGCATTGGGAACCTTTCTTAGCTATGAGGGAGGGTTTTTAAAAATGTGTTTTTAAGGTGGTATATTAATGTACACGAATGATCGCACTTCTGGGAAGGCCTTTATTAACAGTCATGAAAGAACAGGTAGTACATAGTTTTTCCACACTGTAGCCTTTCCATGAGTCTATAATCTAGAATAGCATAAGAAGAGAATATGGGTACGGAAAACATGATTGATATTTACTATTTTAAAATTTTACTCAGGCATTTATACCCCAGTGGACTGCCTGAAGAATACTCCTTTTTAACTACTTTTCGGATAACTGGAAGCACACTTGAAAAGAGCTGGAACATTTGGCAGATTCAGGATTCCTCGGGGAAGGAGCAAGTTGGCATAAAGATTAACGGCCAAACAAAATCTGTCGCGTTTTCATACAAAGGCCTGGACGGAAGTCTCCAGACCGCAGCCTTCTCCAATTTGCCCTCCTTGTTTGATGCCCAGTGGCATAAGATCATGATCGGCGTGGAAAGGAGTACTGCTACTCTTTTTGTTGACTGCAACAGGATTGAATCCTTACCTATAAAGCCAAGGGGCCCAATCGATGTCGATGGCTTTGCTGTGTTGGGAAAACTTGCAGATAATCCTCAAGTTTCTGTTCCAGTAAGTATAAGACCATACACTAAGGTAGGCTAAAGGAAAAACAGACGGTAAAAGTTAATATCTCAGACATTTTGCTAATCCGTTGAGAGTCTTCAACAACAGTTATTCATTTTTGAAAATTTATTCAAAAAATGTTCAGTGCCTATTTTGAGCAGGCACTGGTAGCATGGTACATGGTACCTATTTTGGTAGCATCTGCCAGATGGAATGCAGAATCGGAGGAAGTTCCTGGTCCTGAGGAGCCTAGAGTTTACTTGGAAGGTGTTACATGCTCACCTGGAGCATCCAGAGTCCTTCTGAGGCAACTTAGACTGAAAGTCAAGTGGTGTGGCACATGTTGTGCATACGTAACTCAGGAGAATGGTCAAAGTGAGGTCGAGATGGGCGATGGGTTTAGTTAGTTGAGAATCCCATGTTTCTTGGAAGGAATGAACTTTGAAATGGTAGGATTTAAATTAGCAAATAGAAAGGGAGAAAGTGCATTCTAGATGCGGGAAAGCCTGGTAAGGGGAAAAGAAGTGTAGAGGGACTGGCTGATTTGGTCTGGGACTGGCGGATTTGAGTGCTGGCTCATGATACGTAGGAAAGTGTGAGTGTGTCTGTGTGTGAGGAGGGTGAAGGATGCTAAGTGCAGAGTGGTTAGGAAGCCACATGGCATTGATTGACAAGAATGAAAATGATATAGATGGAATAATATTCATCTATTTAGAAATAGAGCATGTATGACATATTACAGAAATAAAAGATTTTAAGGCTCTATTCACGGTTTTGCTATGAAGATCCATGGACATAAAGGTAAGGAATTATATAATGCTGAGATAATTGTGCCAACTAGTACTATATAGTTTTATCATTTCTAATTGTTCCCCTTTTACTGATCAGTCCTTTAAAAGGATATTTCATAATATTATCATAGGAATTTATAAAATATGTCTTAGAGAACAAGTGTCTCCTTGAGGGAAACTAAAGAATTTAGAGCTCAATAAATAAACCACTGATGCCAACACCATCCCCCCGCTTTTTACTGCTATAAAACTATTACATTCTAGTCACAGGACCCGTATCAAAAAGTGTAGCAGAAACGATACGGTGATTTTGAATTGTTTCAGTGCATTTCTCTGAAGAAAAAACGGTTATCAGGGACAGGGATCTCAGTAATGGAATTGTTCAAACAACTTGTTTTCAAGGAAAGAATTGTGATTAGTGTGAAGGGTAGTGTGAAATTTCTATATTCTGTGATGGACAGGAAACAATTTGTAACTGCCACGTTGCCGCTCTGGCTTGTAGACTCTTGAAAAAGTATTTCTTCCTTTAATGAGTTATCACACCTCGAGTGGCTGGGTTAGAAAGTCGATGGGACTACTGTTGAGCTGGCTTGAAATTTTGTGCAGCAAGATCTTTGCAATGATACTGGAAAGGTTTTGAGATAACATTGAACTTCTGCAATAGCTGTGTCATTTCTGGATCACGATGAGGGGGAAGAGACTTTAGGTTCCTTCCTCATTGTTTTGAGTATCAATTATTTAAAAATTGATTTCTTGATTACTGGCTTTAAAAAACATTTTTAGTGTTTATAATTCTGGGTGCTAAGATGCCATTAAATTATCTGATCACCAGGGAAGTAAACCGAATTCTCAACATGACTTCATTATATTATACTCTTGCCAGTAATGTCATAGCTGATTATAGGTTTTCTGCCAAGTCTAGCCTCACATCACATTAGAGACCTGTTAGTACAAAGGATCTTCTGTTTTATTCTGCCTTGTGCAGGAAGGAATGCAACTAGCAACCTGGCAGCTGGTTTTACCTTCTGCTTCTGGTTCCTGGAAGAGCTTTCCTAAGTCAGTACAGTGTAGCCAACGTTAAAAAAAAAATTGAAATAGGAATGCACAAATTTGTTTCTTACACTAAATTCTGACTACTCTACTAGGAAATGACTTGAGACTTGGGCCTAACAGCCCAATAATAACTAAACTAGATCAAAGTTATAGCCCAAGGGAATCCTACCTACATTCAAGGACTGGAAAGAACAATGTCAAACTCAAACTCCTCCCCATAGGAGTTCCTCAACTTTCACCCTGCACAAGGCAAAGTATCAGAAAACTATCTAAGACAATATAAACAATCCTTACACCAATTTAAAGTTCTCAAAATGCTTCATTTCACAACAACTTTGTTAGATAGCAAATATAGATAGTGTTGTCTCCATTTCTCAGCGGAAGAAGTGATCTCAAGCAAGTCTGTTGGCTTGTAGAAGGGGTGTTAGGCACAACATTTCTAATTTATCTTATTTTCTGCTATTTGAGCTGGTTTTCCTTAGAGAAATGATTGAGAAGATCGGTATAGCCACTTATGTTTCCTTATAAAGCAGATCATTATTCTTACTTTGGGAGGCATTTGTGATTTGTCTTCAGAATTTACTTCACAGGAAAAACATGTTAAAAAATAAAAAGAAGGAAGATCGTACAATATAAAACAGGAGTCCTCAAACTACAGCCTACGGGCCACATGTGGCCTGCCTAGGACATTTATCCAGCCCGCCGGGTGTTTTTGCCACTGCTGCCTGTCCTGCTTAGCAGCCGACTCATCCTGGGGCCACAGTCTGGCCCGCCAATGGTCTGAGGGACAGCGAACTGGCCCCCTGTTTAAAAAGTTTGAGGACCCTTGATATAAAACATGTCCTCAGATGCTAATCTTATTTTATTTATTTATTTATTTATTTGAGACAGAGCCTCAAGCTGTCCCCCTGGGTAGAGTGCTGTGGCATCACAGCTCACAGCAATCTCCTAACTCCTGGGCTCAAGTGAGTCTCCTGCCTCAGCCTCCCAAGTAGCTGGGACTACAGGTGCCCACCACAAGGTCCAGCTATTTTTTGGTTGCAGCCGTCATGGTTGTTTGGAGGGCTGGGCTGAATTCGAACCCGCCACCTTGGTTATATGTGGCTGGTGCCTTAGCCACTTGAGCCACAGGCTCTGAGCCCTAATCTTATTTTTTTATTCACTTAGAAAATTTTCATTGGCTGTAAATATATGGGCTACACAAAGTTAAATAAATCATAGCTTTTGTCTTCTTCAGTTTCTTGAGAATAAGGAATTGAGATAAACAAGTAAATAATCACAATATAACATGAGAAAGACCATGATAGCAACGCGTCCTATGTGCCAGGAAGCACAGGGGGAAACCTCGTCACTAGGATCAGGGCAGGGAGGTGTGAGAGTAGAAGTCAGGAATATTTCCTGAAGGATATGATGCTTGAGAAGAAGCCTTGGGATGAGTAAATGATCCAGGAGAAGACGAGGTCCAGGGTTCCAGGAAAAGGGACTTTCACTTGGAAATTGCTAGAAGTATCAATTATTTTCAAGCTTTTCAGTCTTGCCACACCATTCGTCACTTTTCAAAATTAAAGAGAGCCAAGTACTCATACGAGTCCACAGACAAAGCCCAAGTGTCTGTGAGTTCTCCTTACAACCCTTGCTTTATTCTATGGACTATTATGTTGGACTTCTCACTGAAGTTGGTGGCAACTATTGAAAATCAACAATGACTACCTGTCCCTTTGAGATCTTAGAGAGAGATGGGCAGTGATAAGCACACGTTTGAAGAGGTAGAAGAACTGTGCCGACTGGTCATCCTTCTCTTCATTTGGACACAGCGAATATTCGACATTACTGTGTAAGAAATTATAAATTAAAATGAGGTAGCATGAAAAGATAGCAAGAAAACCATAAATAACTGCGTTTTTCAAGTTTTCATCATGTCCTTGGATTTATGCTACTCTTTGACACTCACTGAATACTTTTTTCAGGGCTGACCCTTGCTTTTCCTTAGTAAACAAGTCAAACGCAAGATGTGTCTGCTACAGATACTGTCAGATGTGTCAAAAGGCAGCCCTAGGAATCCATAATAAAGGCAGTTGAAAACAACATTTGATGGATCACTAGCGCTACAAGACTGACTTATCTTGTACTTGTTTGTGATTTTGCCCAGCCTATACTATATCTTTTGTCTCTTTCTCTTTTTTAAATGGAAATGGGAAGCCAATTTTAAAAGGTTTTCATAAGGCCTGCAGGATAGCTGATCGCATGCTCTACAACTCAACACCTTCTCATCATTAATGGTTATTTAGGGGACTCAGAGCACTTTATAATTTTTCCCAATGCACTGTTGTAATACATTGTTAGTTTGATTTTAAAGCAATAAATCCCATATTTTCTATTCTCCTTTGTGCCAGTATTTTAGGATGGTGCCATCTATCCCACTGCAAAGCTTGGTTTCCTGGCAGCATCCCATAAAAACTTGTTATTTTATGACAGATTCTTTATTGTCTGTTGTCAGCATGATTGCCGAGGAGAGTTATTTGGTACAGCTCTATTAGAAAACAAAGTTGGCCTTTCTCCCTTTTCAGAGATGTACATTGGGAGTTTGGGCTTGTTTGAGGAAAGATAAAAGTTTATGTGGCTATACAAATATACAGTTGAAGCCATCCATCTTTGTTCCAAATAAACCGATATGAAATGCGATTAATCGGACAGATTTAATGCTTCTAAAAGCGAATTTTCAAATGTGTTGCTTTTTGTTTATTTTTAGTCATAGAAAATGTGAGAGCTGGCAAGAACCATTGGTGGTTTCCTTTTTCTCTATTGAATCATACTAACCTCTAAATGTAGAAAGAATGAACGTTCTATGAATTATATGATGGAAAAAATAAGTTACGAGGTTGTTTCTGGTATTTGAGAAACATTGTAGGAAAGTTCTGATTCAAGGGATGCGTGATATCTGTTCTATGTAATATCTAAACTATTAGGTTTACCTATTGTTTTGACAAACATGCATTTTACAAATACTTTCACTTGGAAGTATTAAATTAGCAAAAAGAAATGGCAGTCTTATCTATACATATCCATAGGAGATAATTTTTATACAACTTGATTTGATCAAAATATGTTTGAATGCTGAGTGTCAAAACAAATTTTTTTGGAGCTGAAACCTCACTTGTTGCA